TAAAGCTAATTGAACTCAGGTAGCTGAAGCTACCTTTCGTGAAAATCCTCTTCGTATAGGGGGCGTATTAATCAAGAGTCTACATTACTAGCGATGGCCTCCAACCTAATAGCGATGGCCTCCTTAGTAGCCTTTCCCATGGATTCTTCGCAACTTGTCCACTCAACACTCAACCGTGCAACTCATGTTTCATGTCCACGGCCTGTCGCTGCCGCGCGTCGTCGAGTTCACGCGCTGCCAGCAGCGGAGCATCTTAACGGTTTTTGTGGTGTTTTCGGGCTGTATCGGTCTGGCTATCTGCGTGTTTGCCTGCTGAGTATCATTTTGAGGGGTCCTGTCGTGCTCAAAGATGGTCATACCTGTTGGGTGTTGCCTGTTGGGTTGGTGTGGAGTTGCAAGAAACATTTTCCCCGGCTGGCAAACGTGCTAGATTCACTAGAACGCCCATCACATGCTTCCAAAGCCCAAAGCTTTTTCATGCTTTTTCCCTACCTCTCAGGTACTTCTGTTGTGCGGTGGACGGTGGGAACGGACTTTGTGTCAGCTGCACGAGCCAAAGAGAGGCCGCGAACAGTACTTGACCGAGAGGCTACAATCTACTAGATCTACTAGCGACGGCCTCCAATGAAAGGAACGTGGGCTTCTTCCCAAAACAGTCATCAAAGCCATCATGTAAATGCTTTAGCAGGAGACTGCTTCGTGATCAGAACTCCCGTGGTTTCAAAAAGATTCAATTCAGTGCGGGAGGCTTCCTTTTTCCTCTTCTCCAAGGACAATGAACCGGCAAAACATGCACAATAACCCCCATATATGACCCCCTCAGCATTTCCAAACGACATGACAGTTCACTGAAGTTTACCGACTGGTTCGGTATTCAATTCTCGGACACTGTCCATTTGCTGGACCTAGAGTGAGCATGATTTCAGACTAGGGCCCCTGCACAAGAAGAATGACACAAGTCATGATAAGATACAATTATGACAAACGAACATGGAAACAACACAATTCAGTCTTCTCAAAGGAACCGAATCAGTTTAAGCCTCTGACTCCGATACTAGTAGCCGCTCCTAGCCACTTGAGCTTAGCGGCTACTATGGCCTATCCGTCCCTGCGAAACAAGAAGGAGCTCCTGTTTCGGTGGAGACCCAGCGAGAGACCCAGCCACATTCCAACGCTCCGAACAAGTGACCACTTTGTTGTGCAAACAGAGTGAGAGGTGGTGAAACTCCACATCAACCACTTTGCAACAAACCAAATACAATCATCATACAAATATCATAAAACACAATCTATACCGATACCCAAACCCGGTGGTCATCCCACCTTCCATGACACCGGGTGACACCGAAAGCTTGTGACGTTTCCTTCATACCCTACTCGGAAAGGCAGGCGGAGCTATGCGGAGCTCCAGACGATGCACGCCGCAGCGACACTTTTTTTTTTTTCAGATGTCTGACCAACCAGAGACTCGTTCGACGAATACGACACCATGGCATGCTTTCTCCATGAACATGCAAAGTCGAATTGAGATCCGATCTTGTGGACTGTGCAACTACCCTAAGAGACCACCTGTGGTGATTCATGGCGATTCCAAACATCAGAGAACTCCAGCTCGATGGACTTCGCACATATTGTGTGGCTACTATGGCCTACCATGCATTAAAAAAGCAAGTTGCCAATCCAAGCCTCCAGCAACCTAAAGCATTGCAATCGTTTGACGTTCTTCCGACTGACCAGGGAAATGTCTGAATCCGAACAAACATGAATGCGCTGAAAGCTCCTTACTAAAGACCCCAAAACGGGCAATTGGTGCAAATATATAAGGCAAAGGAAACGGGAAGACGGGAAGTTGGATTATTGAGAGCTCTAGTTTTTACTGCACCTCCACCTACAAGCCAAAAGTTCTGGAAGCTGACAGACCATGCCAGGGGTTTCTGTTGGACAAACAAACATGCCTCCGACCTGGTACAGTACTCTGGCGATCGATCTTGGTCTCTTCGTTTCCCACGCCACACGGAAGCTGACTAGGGGCTCCTGGCCTTACTACTAGCAACAAGGGGCATCGCTACGAACGAAGCATTCTTGCTACTAGGAACAAGAACGCTACTAGGGGCTCCTGGCATCGCTACTAAGGAACAAGAAGCTATTAGTTAATTTAATTCTACTAGCTTCTTGTTACTAGTAGTAAGGCACCTGTTACTACTAGCGATGCACTTGTTACTGCAAGGATGCTGACTGAGTTCCTCTGATCTTCCGACCCGTCACTCACCACGTCTCCCTCACCGCGCCTGGAGACGTGCACCGAGGCAGCGTGCGAGGATCAAGTGCCACGACCGACGGGTGGGGTCAAGTGCCAGAAAGAAGACCCCAACAAAGGCCCTATAGCGATGCCCTAGTAGCGTTCTTGTTCCTAGTAGTAAGGCCAGGAGCCCCTAGTTGCATCCTTGTTACTACTAGTAAGGCACTTGTTACTAGAAGCGATGCACTTGTTCCTAGTACAAAGGCCCTATAGCAATGCCCGAGTGGCACGAGCGGCGAATGTGGTCGCACGCGGACGGCCAAAGCACAAGTTTGTTGCGTCCTTGCTCCTAGTAGCGATGCCAGGAGCCCCTACCCCAACAAAGGCCCTAGAGAGAATCAATCATCAAGGAATCCAAGAGCATGTCCACAAGAGCGTTCTAGCGATGGCCTCCAAGCTAAGAGCGAAGAATCCACAGGCCCAAAAAAGAGAGTTCACGGTGAAGTCAGCTGAAACATGGTAAAAACTTAAGATTCCCGTAACATCCCGTAACATGAAAACGCATCGTGCGACACCGATCGGTGCTTTTTGTGGCGTTGAGCGTCACCGGTTGTACCAGGATGACCGACTCGCTCTGACCTAAAGGCCACCGCAGAGTGCACGGGCGCGAGCAAAAGGGATGGTGGTGCTTTGATCTACCAAGAGAAGACTCGGTTTTCTTTGTGGTATCTACCTCATGATATCATTATCTCATGAGTCTTCTCAGCTTTCTTTATGTCATCTAATTACATTGGTATCTACCTCAGTTTTCTCTGGGAACCTATTTGATCCTATTTGGATGCAAACGGACTAGGCAAGTATCTCCCGGTCCCGGTCATCCTCAAACCCCGTCCAAACAGGTCAGAAGCACGTCTCATTCAGGCGGCAGCTCATCTGCGGACGAAGGACGAAGGCAGTGGCCGAAGGCAGGGCGACTTCGGCCGAAATCGAACATGTGAACATGTGAACTCTGTGCCCATTCTGTGCATATAGAGAGGCTAAAGTAACCCATAACGAAAGAAACCCACATGGTTCGGGACCCTTTGGCCTGGTTCAACGGTTCGGGAATTCCACGAAGTCGTCCAAACGGGTGTTGTGGAACATGCCCCCGTTTGGATTCCGAGAAACGAATGCAAAATCCCGTTCGGCGCAATGAAGGTCTGGACGAGCAGGCACCAAGAGACATCCATCTTTTGTTCATCGTCTTCTTCTCTGGATGAAACGTCCACCAAGACCACCTCACGCCGTACACGCCGCCCGGGCCGCCCGGCCGAAGTCGCGGTCGCCGTGGCGGTCGAAGTCGCCCGAACTGCCGTCCGACTCCGAGTAGAGCCTCAGGAGCCAAGGGCATCGCTACGCACGGGGCTCCTGGCATCGCTACTAGGAACAGTGTTTGCTATTAGAACAAGAAGTCAATAGAACTCAATCTAAGCTTAATTAGAATCTGATTAGAATTGAAACAAGTCATCGGGGAAGCTGTGGACCCCGCAACATCCACACTCTCCGACACTCTATCGCACGTAGGTTGGAGGCCATTGCTAGTAGCTTGGAGTAGGCTGGAGGCCATCGCTATTAAGTGTCTTTCTTTCTGTATCTTTTGTCTGTCTTTTCCTGTTCTTTAGACCTTTTGTACCGGATTTTTTTGTCCCTTTTGGATTCTTTTCATAGCCTCAGCTTGCTGGCTGCCCCTGGACCCAGCTTGCTTACCGCCCAAAAGACCAAGCTTCACCCATTCTTCCACTGAGCAGGTGGCAACTTACAATACTTAAAGCATAGCATCAACGCAGTGGTCCGCGTTTTCCACTGGCCTCACTTGACATCTTTGGCATTTTGGTCTTCACATGTCTTCACAGGTTTCCATGTCCTCAGGAGCGTGCTCCCATTCTTGGACCACATGAACATAAAGAGTCTAGGGGCTCCTCGCCTTACAAGGAGCAAGGACGCTACGAACGGGGCTCCTGGCCTAAACCATGGCCACACACTAATCCCAAAGGTCGTGAACGAACGGACGCTATTCGTCTTTCTCCCCAACCACCCGACATCAGACAACATCAGACCTACCTTTACTGTGCTCTTTGTGGAAGCTGGGGAGGGTCGAAATGAACCATTTGCATCCAATTGCCTGTCTTTGAGCAGATTCCAATCCTACAACCAGCTAGAGTTGCTTTTTGGGTTCGCCTACAGTATGTTTCTTCAGCATGAACTCACGCAGAGTATGCGTCGTTCACGACGAGTCACGCATCGTCGTTCATGGCTTCTTTGGAGGCTTCCTGACGCGGCGCGCAGCATCGCATGGCGCGCAGCATGGCACGGTGCCGCGCGGCGCGGAACGTGGCAAGCGGGAGCTCTGGCCAAGGCAAAGTAGTTACTAGTAGTAAGAAGCTACTAAGCCAGAAGGGTGTTGGTTCTTAACACGTTTTGACCCACCAATTGAGTATGGACGCTGGTGTTTCAAAACAGGAAAAGCCGTGAGACACGCTTTTGGCCTTCAGGAAAAGTAGATACCCTTCCTTGCCAAGAGTCCAACAAAGGATTACAGTAAGGTTTCATGTGGTAAAGCGAGTGGGAACCTCCTTTTCGAACAAGAAAAAGACTACGGATAGTCTGCCAAACAATGCAATATGCTGGTCTTGACCTATCCCCAAACAACGACCCTGGGTTCCCAGGGCAGCGTCTCAGGTCCATTCTTTTCACATCAAAAAACGATGCCCCGATACACAGTTCACACACCAGTTCCAGGGTGGCCCAGTGTAACCAGCACCACTTCGTCCCACTTGGGCCCATCAATCACCCGAGTGCATTGACGCAGCACGGCCCTCCGCATCCTCCCCTCCTCCGCCCAGTCAGCGACGTCCCGGCAAAGCTCATGTTGCCGCGCCACGCGCCACACCTCCGGCTGCCCGTCTTTTCGTCCGTCGAAAAGTTGTGCTTGCAAGAGATGTCGCTTATATATCTTGTGCATTCGAAGTGGTTCCGGTGACAAGCAACCTCGAATTCAGCAGGGAGATCTGTGGGGTGAAAGGTTCTCGAAACTCCGTTGAAGGAGCGTTGAAGTTGCTGGCAAATGGCATTCTCAACAAAGTCCTTGGTGTCTATACCCATATGCTTGGTGACTCACTCAACCAGGATCTCAAACCATCCAATCCAGTCTCCTGTCAGTTGAACACACACACACACACAAACTGGCAGGCCGCGGCCTGGTCTGATTAAAAGGTTTTCTTGGGTGGGTTCAACGGTCAAAGGTGTTAGTTCTTCAAGGTCTGTGTCGGCCGTGTCTTTGACTGTGTCTTCACACGCCCATGTTTTCTGAGTGCCCGGGCAAAGGGAAGAGTGATAAAAAGCCCCAGCATGCTAAACAAGGCCAACACCTGCACGACAAATCTCGCAAGGACAAATCAATCCAAAAGAGTTACTGCCATGGAGTCCCTGGGTTAAGGTTGGAGGCCATCGCTGGTAGCTTGGAGGCCATGGCGAGTAGGTCTAGCAACAAGTCTGAATGGGTCCAAAAACAGGAGCCCCACATGATCTGCTCAAAGCAAGGAACCCGAGGGGACCTCGGGGGTCATTATTTTGCTTCCTCTCACCAGTTTCTGCGCACATCGCCGAGGTGAATGGATTCCACATTCGGGAGAGTGATTTAGTAATTCTACTAGGAGCAAGGACGCTACTAGTGACAAACCAGATGCACAAACATCTCCCAGGTAATTCTATGTCAAGTTAAAAAAGGCGACTGGAGGTCGCCCAAGGAGCCTAGGTATCGCGAAAGAGCCTGGGCAACACATGCGAAAAAAAATGAAAAAAACAAACCCAAGCCTTGTTCCTAGTAACGTCCTTGTTACTAGTAGTACGGCCAGGAGCCCCTAGTAGCGTCCTTGCTCCTAGTAGTAAGGCCAGG